CCCCAGGCAGAGCTGGCCATTGTTCCAATTCTTTGGCCAATCGATTGCCAAAAATTGTGGGACTGTTTTTGATTCCCTGAGGTAACACTGTCCAGGTAAGTTGGTTTTTCCTGCCTGTGCTAGGGTTGTCCCATACAGAAGCAGATATGTTTTGACTTCCTTCTGCAAGTGGCAGGCATAAGAAAGCATCTTTGAGATCTATCACCGGGAACCAAACAAGATTATTTTGGAGTTTAGTTAGCAAAGTATAGGGATTTGCAACCACTGGGTGGATACTTTCAGCAATTCCATTGATTGTTCGCAAATTTTTCACTGATCTATAAGTTCCATTAGGTTTTTTTACTGGTAGTATAGGAGTATTAAATTCAGATTCACACTCTTTCAATAATTCTAGTGTCAGAAATTTGCTAATAATTGGTTTGATCCCGTTTTTGTCCTCTATTCTTAAAAAATATTGTCTCTCAACCACTGGCTTTTCTCCTGTCTGTAATTCAATCTTAATAGGGTCAGCCAATTTTGATCTCCCAGGAGCAGTGTTATTTCATATTCCTGGGTATACCTGATTAATTATTTGCTCCAAAGAGTTACTATTGTTTGCTGGTCCTGTATCAATTGCCAGTCCTAATGCTGAAATCAATTTGCCTTCAGGTACTTTGAATCTCATGTTTCCCTCGCTAAACTGAATTGTTGCCTCTAAATTTTCAAGGACATCCCTGCCTAATAGTGATTTAGGCAAATTTGGCAGATAGAGGAATTGATGAATTCCCATCTTTTTCCCAGTTTTGTGTTCTAATGGTTTTAAGAAAAAGGCATTCTCTGGTTGGCCTGTGGCTCCCATTACCTGGATATGTTTTTCACTTTTAGGCATTAAAGCTTGAATTAAAACTGAAAATGTAGCTCCTGTATCTATTAAGAATTCAACTTCTTTATCATTCCCTAGCTGTATCTTAACCAGCGGGTCTGCTAGGGAAAGATCTGCCAGTCCTCGTCACGCACTGTTAACTATTGCTGCAACAACAGCTTCCTGTGCAGTGTTCAGTAAATCTGGGCACTGGCATTTCCAATGCCCTTCTTCCTTACAGTGAGCACACTGATTTGGGCCTAACCTCTCTTGGGATTCATTTGAGTCACCTCTACTATTTCTACCTTTACCTCTGCCTCATCCCTGATCACATAATCCTCTTTGATGTTGCTCTAAAGCTGCCACTATGGCTCCTATGGGATTTTAGTCTTGCTTCTAGTGGGAGCCGTTACTGGAGTCCCTGGGCTCCTTCCCTCATCTGGATAACCTGAGTCATCTCCTTTCTCACTTTCTAATCTACTATCACTAGATGATAATTGAGGGACCCCGGGGACTGTCCTGAGGAGATTAGGTTGTAATTCTAAAAGGATCAATCTCACTATCTTCTTCTCCACATCTCAGTTTAAGACATCTCTGACCTATACTACATGCAGAAGAACACCACCTCATTTTTCTTTTACCTCCATCCTTTTCTAGGGCCAAAACTAAGGGATCTTGTGGGGGTAAATTATTACTGCATCTTCTTTGCCACTCTGGTTTCATTCTCAATGTCAAAAACATATGCAATACCACATCAAATCACTTTTATACCTCCAGGTATCCCTCCTAAATCCTTCCAATGAGCCAAAACACACCCCAATGGACTCTTTTTGACAATATCCTTACTGTCGGTGCTACCCATTCCTGGTGCTATCCAGATACCTGCACTTTACAGCAAAAATTATCACTTGCATTCCTTTCTTTACTCTTATTCTGCAGATACTGCACTGACCACAAATTGGGAATCTTAGTTTCAACCTGAACCAGTATTTGTTTTTACAATGCTGCCAAGCAATTAACACAAAAGAATTGTTATACATGGATAATGCAATGGTTGGCTCTCACAATTAAGGGATGAATACTATGTGTAGGTTAAGAGAAGTTTTACTGATGTATGGTTATGTTATTGTGATATGTTCTCCCCGTAGCCCTCTTTCCTGTCCTCCTTGTATTGTTTCCACTGGATGGCCTGGGTAGTCAGGGCATTTGGGAGGAGAGCAGGCTTGTTACTAGGAGGCATGGCATAGCAACACCTGACCTCCAATCAAGTTTCAAGAAAGTGATCTCCACCAATGGACGGCGAAGAAGAGTTGACTGACGGACTTTGGAAGGGATTAGGATTACCTGATGCAACACCAGGAGTATAAAAGGTGGAGCAGTCATTTTGTGGTTGAGCACGTGGCGATTTAGTCCTACACTCTCAGCGCTGTAATTTTTCCTTATTTAGTCCTTTGTTATATTTGTTAAGGTTTAATAAACCTTCTAAAATTTTAAAGTGAGCATAGTTTCTCACAGATCACATGGTCTACTCCTGCATAATCTACGCTGTCCTGATCTGCACAACAGACAAGGTAACAGAGTACAATGTGTAATAAACCAAAAACCTTTTAACAGACACACAGGCAAGAAATGAAAACTTATTAACAGACACATGGACAAGAAACACTAGTCTTACATAGAAGACACAAAATGACACATGCAACAATCAAACCCAAAATTCCAAGTCATAGGCCAATACATAATCATCAGACTTCCTTTCAGGGGACTCTAACCCCTTATGTATTAACGTCGGGAATTTTGCCCATGATACAGCATCCTGCATGAGTCGTCACATACGTTTTATGGGAGTTACTTAACCAAGATCAAAACGAAAATTCAAAATAATCAACAAATACCTTAAATTTCCTGCAGTCGGTCCTTGTTTACCCCTGCAGAGAGCCAGGGAAGCACAGAGTCCCTACAAGAAATTCTTGGAGCTTGCCAAGGGAGTCGGGAGCTCTAGCAGACCTTTGCAGCTGGGCAGAGAATTCTCTCCTGGCTGGCTTGCCAAACTGATGCCCAAAACTTGGCAAGAAAATAAAGCTCTGTAGCCAGATGGCTACAGAGCAGGTGTTTATTCAGCTCTGGGAGTGAGGGGGAAGTCTCTGCCACAAAATTCACTCATTCTTCTTTAGCCTTCAGTTACATTTTAAAAGTCTTTCTGTGCAACATCACAACTACAACATATCATTAGCATACTCATATTTGCATAAAGCTGTGTGTTACAGGGCTTGCAAGGGTTTTTCAGGGCTAAGAGAGAGACAAGAATCTTGACCTCATGTTCAGAAGGCTTGATTTATTATTTTATGCTATATATTACATTATTACTATGCTAATAGGAATAGAGAGAAAAAGTCTCAGAAGCTTGCTAAGTTAAGAATAGAAAAAGAATCAACAACAAAGTTCTGTGTCCAGGCAGAAAGCAAGAACAGCTCTGCCGTCAGCGGTCAGAAAATCCAAACATTCAAAGGAGACCAATCTTGGATGCACCTGTTGCATTCCACAGCAGCAGATAACCATTGCCTACATTTGTTGCTGAGGCCACAGCTTCCCAGAAAGGGGAAAAATCCCAAAGAAAGGATTTTTCACAAAAGATGTCTGTGACAGCTGTGTCATGGTTTTACAAGAGTTTGTTACTTCCACGCATGCGTCAGTTCCTTCTGTGGTGGTTGTCAGTCTCCTGGTGGTGTTTTGATGAAGACTTCTGTAGTCTTCCTCACATTTGAACTTTTTACTTCTATCTTCAGCACATGCCTGGTGCTTCTTGTTTTTCAATCTAACTTGTTTTTAGCTAATTTTGCAGTTTGCAAGTTCCATTAAAACTTGCTATCTTGCTTTTGATGGCACTTGTTATCTCACTTGTCATCTCTTATTTGTTGCCTTGCTTGCTTTACCTGCACATTTTGTTACCGTGTTACTTGTGGTTAACCTTTTGTTACATACCACTTAGGTTTCATAATAAGTGAGCTATTAAGTATTATTTACAGATAATATTCAGTTCAGAAAAAAAAATATAAATCTTATAGCAATAAACATGTATATCTTTAGTATTATTAAGTACGGTTGTAGACTGGCCAAAATAGGTTTCTCAAATAAGTATACAATTTGCTTGAACAGACTACAAAGATAGATAGATATAGATATAGATATATAGATCAATAATCTGGTAATTGTTTGTAGGATACATTAGACTGACTTTCTACTGAGTTGCATATTTCCCTCCTTGAGGAGTCTTTTTTTTTTTTTTAATTAGAGTTTTTCACTTACATATTATTTAGGAAGACTGTGAAATGGGGGAAATTGAAATTTCTTTGATTCCTAATATTTCAGGTATGGTTGAATAAATTAAATTGAAGATTTGACTTGACGTGTCTCTTCTTGAGACGCCATTTTATTAGTATCATTGAAACTATGGGAAAAACTAAAACTTTCCCACATTTTTAGTGTTAGAGTATCAAGGCAATTATTTATTCTGGCCAGGATGTGCAACAGAAATAATTTCATCCACACATTGTCCGAGTGTGCAGAGAAAATCATTCAATGACACATGACTCTTTGCTAGATTTTTCACATACTTATACAGTCAAAACCCAGAGAAATTAATTGGTTCAATGTTCATTGGTCCCAAGTCTCACAGTTCTTAGTATTTGGTTTCTTATCAGTTATGGATTTCTTCGGCTCTGATGCTAATTTAGTCCTTATTCCTTGGTTCTCTTATCAGTCTTTTATGGACCAGGTGTCTCTGACCATGCCAGGGGTGATGTTTGGCGTTTATGGTCGTTAATGATTATAATGGTTGTTAATGGTTGTTATCTTTTGTGCATCTTCTATGCTACTCCGGGTCTTCTTGGGATGTTAAGCTAATCACACCTTGAGTGATGAAACAGTCCTTTGAAAAGAAACTTCAATTATCTTCCCCCAGGGCAAAGGCGAACAAGACTGACTAAAGTTACAAAAAAATTTGAAACTTTGTATCATTTCCAACATTAGGACAGTTGTACATAGTAGACACTCTTTGTAGAACATCTCAAATCAAAGTGGATATAAAAAATTAATTTAAATTCATCTACCGTTTCATCTGTACAAAGTGATTTATTAATGCATGGTTTGTTTTCTCCAGATTGCTACAATTTCTCCAGGGATAGCATCATGCGAAAACACACTAAATACATTGAGATATGCAAATAGGTATGGAAAATGTTATTGCTTTATTGGCTGTTGGTCGCTGATATTTGGAATATTACTGTTCCATAATGTATAATTATTTTAACTACTTGAATAATTGTAGTGTACTTGCATTTCTTAAAAAGATTTAACTCAAAATACTTATTACTGATTCAGGCTCACATTTAATTAAATTTGTACCTTTTTGCAACCATTACAAGAGAATCAATAGAAACCACATGTAAGCCATTATCCAGAAATTGATATAGTGGGGATTGCAAGGAATCTAGGAGATGCCTCTTTTAGTTTTGTCCCTGCTCTGGATGTATCACCTCTTGCATTAGGGGTAGGCAGTTTTCATGATGATTCCCTGGGGTGTTAGCTGAAATACCTTTCTGCAATGTGATTTTTCATCGCCTTGGTGGAATTGCATTCAGTTGCCAGCATGTTTCTTTTATATATATGATATATCACATCATATATAGATCTATATCAACTAGCTTATTCTTATGAAAATTCGGCAGTTGTTGTGGCCTAAATTTTATGTTTCCCAACTGCTGGCAAATATCTGAGACCCCTAAATACAGTCAGCTAATCCAACAGTGACATAATAAGTGGAGAAGAAGTTAGTGCCTCCAGAGCCTGATGCATCATCTTTGAGACCTGTACTGCTCTCTGAAAGTGTTTGTCTCTTCAGTCAATGTGAAAGGAGCCTTCCACAGCTGCAGTTCTATGATTAATGTTTGGGGAGATTGGGTCCTGCATATGCCTGCAATCAGACATTGCACCCCAGAGACCCACCCACCACTTTGCTGCAAAGAACAAAGGAGGCAAACAAGTTTCTGGGCCATCAGAAAGCCTGGTTTTGCCAGAAGAAGCTACCACCTTGTGGTCTGCTTGCCCCAGTGAAAGATAGGGCAGAACCACATCTTCTCCTGTTTTGCTTCCCCTGCCCCCTCCCTGCAGCCAGTCATTAATTGGGCACAAAGGGCTGCTAGGGTAACTTATCATCCGTTCCTCTTGGTATCCAAATGTCTTTCTGTTTAGATCAAGGTAGTAGCAAATCCACCTGGCTTGAACCTGTCTATGCGATTTCCTTCTTGGTGAGAAGGGGGCATCCAGTCCCCTGCTTACAGTAACATAATGAAGGATGTGTCACATTAATCAAAACTAGTTGTATCTTTCTATCCCTTATAGAATATGTATTGCTGAAGTGACTTCAGAAATGGACACTGAAAAACAAATACCTATTCCCAGTATGCTAAATTGGTGTGCAGAAACTGTTTCTTTCCCTTGCTGTTAAATTCATATGTTGTTAGGGGGTTGTGCTGGTTTTGGCTGGGGTAGAGTTTATTTTTTATGCCTATCACTGTAAAGTTGCTTCATATGTTTTGTGTAGTATTTTAATTTTTTCTACCAATATATAGTTTTCATAGGACAAGTAAGTAGTTTTCAAGTGCTGAACACCAGTGTCTGTGCAGTGTCAGATGGTGCAGTATAGAATTTAAGGCACTGTAGTAGTTTGATATGTTAAAAGGATCAGTTTAACGAAATACTAAATGTAGAGCAAATTTTATTATCTGCAAAACCTGAAATCTGGAGTTACACTTCTGAAAACACTGCTATTATACTCTCCTGCAAATTACCAGCACTGATATTGTTCAATTTTGTTAGTGATCTGTAACCATTTGCAGAAGATTTAAATATGTCAACAGTCTTCTTTTTTAATGTAAAAATAATTTTGTTAAACTATTAAAGAATGCAAAACAGTTATTTTAACTGTGTTTGAGATAATTTTCTTTTAATTTGCTGCTGCAGAGTAAAGGAATTTGGAATTAGTCCTTCAGACATTCCCTTCTCTCAGGGTAGTGGCAGTTGCTCTGATCTCTCTCCTTCCTATGAGTATGATGACTTTTCTCCTTCAATCACAAGGTCTACTTCATTCTATATACAGAATGTTTGTTTTATAATTTTCTTTTTGGCAATGCAATTTTACAGACAAACCTTTCATTAGTCCCCTTGCCTTGAGTCACACATACTTTGTTTTTATTTTGTTTGTCAGGTGATGGTTCTGCATGATCTGCAATCATCTTTCTATTATTTTGTTCACAAGACCACATTCTGTATCCAGGCTTGCTAGTTTCCTTCATACATTAAAAAAAAAAAAAAAAGAAATTATGTCTCCTTCATACATTTAGCGGACCAAATCTGATCAGTCTGTGTTTAGGGTAATTTGAATATAAATAATTTAAAAAGAAACCCATTTTAATACATATATATTGTAAAAACTTTTAATTATTCAAAAGATGAATGAAATATAGTTTCCATTGTATGAAATATGTGCTACTTCAAAAAGAAATTCCCATTAAAATTAAGAATTTGTTCTAAAACTTGCTATACTTGCAGATTTTGATGTCTATTTCATAAGCGTTCTTTTAAATGGGCCTTGTTTGATAGAATCATTATAATCTTTAAAGTATTTTCATGCTGCAAGAACCTTACATTTTAATAATATATTTTCACCTTTTAAATTATTTTAATAAAAGGATCTATTCATTCTCTGAGATAGTTGGCTGCAAGTTATTCTTTTCTTCAAAATTCTTAGTGGATTTGCTTATAACATCTAGTAGGGTACTGATTGACTAATATTTTTAAAGCACAATTGTGTGCACAGATAAAAAACAATGCTCAAGTTTAAGATGCTGAATGAACTTTTCTTTCAAATAATATTCCTTATTGAGGAGTTAATATTGAGGGTCTGGACATTTTTGCCCTCTTAATAGTTAATAAGTACTAAGATTTCAATCAAAAAATGCCTCTTGTGAGAGGATGGACTGCAATCCACCTGCAAATAGTTGAAAGTCTGTGCTTTTTAGGAGTTGAACTAACATCTTTTTGTCACTGAAAGTACATTAAACTTGTGAAGCTAAAATCAGCATCCTTATTAAATGAAATAAATTGTGCATAAATGAGCTTTATTTTTGGTTGTGACTCTTTTGAACAGGAAGTTACTAATTTACAATTTAAATATTTTCTGAATGTAGGGTGAAGGAGTTGATGGTTGATCCTAGTGTTGCAGGAGATATCTCACCTGTTATACACCATGCTCCCAATCAGATTGATGACTTAGAGACACAGTGGGGTGTGGGGAGTTCTCCTCAGAGAGATGATCTCAAACTGCTTTGCGAACAAAATGTGAGTGGTTTACAGCATTGCATGGAAAGCGGTGATAAATACAGTGGCAAAACAAATCCAGAGTAATGTGCATTTATAGTCTGTTAGCAATACCATTTAGTAGATACAGCATGCCTTTTCACCTTTTCACTTTATGCTATTATGTTCATTCCCATATACACAAAAAGGAAAAAAAGTTTCCTGAATGGTGAGAGGAGAATGTTTTACTTTTCCTTATCTTCCTTGCTGAATATGGCTTGTAATATCTAGGCAGGGTCTGTTCTAGGCTCTCACATTTTTGGTGTGCATTTTTCCAGTATAGTTTTATCTTGTATTAGATAGTTAGAAGTAGCCTGGGAAATGCATCCATTTTATTTAACACTCCTGTGTTTTGACCATTATTTTTCCTGCATGGAACCCTGTTTCGAGCAAGTTTGTCTTTCTCTGTGTTTAGAAATCTGGCTACCCATCATTCCTCTTCCCAACATCCTGATTTTCATGCAGTGAAGCCCCAGAGCAACGTTTGAGAGAAAGCCACATCATGTTCCCAGGATGTCTCCTTGGGCTGCATGAATGGAGAGCTGGGATTGAGAGGCACCTTATAAAGGGCATTTTTTTTCCCTCACTACTGATTATCAGCTCTAGTCCTGGTTCCTTAAATGTTCAAGTTGGTTTGTGAAAATGCTGATGAAAGGTACAAAAGAAAAATCCTTGCTACCCTAAATTATTTTTGTCCAGACTCTCTGCCTTTTCAAGCACCTCTATATTTTGTTTGCTGTATATCTCATTTTAATAGCTGTCTCTTCTTCCTGGACTTCGTTTCGTTTTATAAGAACATGCTAGTGATTCCTAGAGCTTCCCACCGGACAGTCCTTACAGCCAGATATCCTTTCATATCATACTTTTTCCTTGTTCACGTGGAATTCAATTACGCTTTTCAATGTGTTTTTTAAAAGATTTTAAAAGCATGGTAGAAGGAACCATACTGTTTTGCTAAAACATTAATTGCAGCCTACCTAGTACTTTCTCCTTTTATTGTGATTAACTATTTATGTTTAAAGAACTCTTGTTTGTCCCAGTTTGTAAATCCGAGTTGTGCATTTTTCTAATGTATTGATCACAACATATTTTTTGATTTTTTTTACTTTACGTTTATTACACTTTTTTTCCAAAGGGTTAATTTGATTTTGTTTTCTTGAAATGCATTGAATGTAAGTGCTGTTCTTTTCTTTTGAAAATTGGCACAACAAAAAGTCCTGACAGAAACCAAGTTTTCTTATTAAAACCTACTAGAAATTAACATTCTTCCCTTATTAATTCCTCCTCCCACTATTTTAACTTGGGGGTTTTTTTCCATGGGGAATATTCTGTTTTCCAGTATCCATTAGGATTAGTGGCTGGAAATTTTTTATGAATATGAATTAAATTTAACTCTTTGAACAGTTTAAATTTATTGCTCTGTCCACTCATTTCTGGATATTTTCTTGTTAGAAAGTATTAAGTTTTATTTTTGACAGATTCTGCTTTCTGCATATTTCTTTTAATGATCTGTGATTATATTCAATATATTTTGTGTAGCCACAGTTCTTTTGAGTCTAACAGGTTTAACTAATGTTTTTAGGAAGAGGAAGTTTCTCCACAGTTGTTTACTTTCCATGAAGCTGTGTCACAAATGGTGGAAATGGAAGAGCAAGTAGTAGAAGACCACAGGGCTGTCTTCCAGGTAAAAGATGGACCCTACCTTGTTTTAGCCTAATAGTAGAATTCAGGTTTTGCCAATAAAAGTGCATACTCTTGAAGATGTAGGATATCATCTGGTCATTCTGCTGCTTTCAGAGATTTCCTAAACAGACTGTCTTTATTGTAAGAAAAGTTGCTATTTTCTTTTTTTACTATTTCAACTATTTACTATATTTTTTGCGTTAGGCCTTTTCCAGCATTAGTAACTGTTTCTTTCTAGTTGTAGGGTGCTTACTCAGATTGGTCTCAAAATTTTCAATTTCACTGTCTAGTCTATTCCAGTATTCCAATGCCAAAGCTGGCAATTAATACTAATGTGTCTATATAGTAATGTCCCTATCAGCACCATTTCTGTGTGGTCATCTCCCTCTAAAATACAGCAATACTCTCTCGTAGTATTTTCTTTAAATATCCTTCTGTGACATGTTTCTCTGAGATACTGAGATCCAGAAGAAACAAATATATTTCTAAGTGCCTGTTTTCTTCCTTTTTGCAGATACATAAAGTTTTCATTTGCTACTAGTCAGGGTCATTGAAAGGACTACTGACCACATAGTGTAATGCTGATCAGCACCACAGAACCTTTTATAGTTGCAAAATAAATTCTAATATGTATGAGTTACTAGTTGTCAGAAGGAAATGTGAATTGTTTTGGTTCATAATGTTAGAATCTTTAGTCAGGCTGTCCATTTGGAGCATCTGCTACAAGAAAATAGCAAAACATTAAACCTAGAGGGAATACACACATGTCATGGTTTGAGACTGGCCCAATGCCAGGCACCCACGAGAGTCACTTGCTCACCTTCCCCTGCCACAGCTGGGCAGAGGAGGGAAAAAAAATTAACAAACAGTTAATGAGTGAGATAAGGACTGGGAGAAATATTTCAAGGGCAAACCAGGCTCAACTTAAGTTGCAAAGTGAATTTTATTATTAACAGAATCAGAGGAGGAATATGAGAAGTAAAATTAGCCCTTAAAATGCTGTTTTCCCCCCATCCCCTCCTTCCTTCCCACCAACAACGCAGGGAGACAGGGCATTGGGGTTTTGGTCAGTTCATCACCAAGATTTTCTGCTGCTGCTCTGGGAGAGGAGTCCTTCTCCTGTGAGACTGTGGGGTCCCTCCCACAGGAGACAGTTTTCCATGAACTTCTCTGGTGTGGGTCCACTCTCATGAACAGCAGCCATACTGCACCTGCTGCAATATGAACTCCTCTCCACAGGCAGACAGTCCTCCTAAAACTGCTGTGACGTGGGTCTCTCTTTCCATGGGGTGCAGTCCTCCAAGGACAGGCTGCTCCAGCCTGGAAGCAGGGGCTCCCTCTCTCCACCAGGTTTTCCACTGGATCACAGCCTTCTCCAGGCATCCACCCTCTCTGGCATGGGCACCTCCCGCCCAGGGCTGTGAGTGGATCTCTGCATGCCCTGTGGATCCCCATGGGCTGCAGGGGCACAACCTGCTTCACCATGGTCTTCACCATGGCCTGCAGAGGAATCTCGACTCCAGCGCCTGGAGCGCCTCTTCCCCCTCCTTCTCCACTGACCTTGGTGTCACCATTTTGTTTTCCTTCACATATTCTCACCTCCTCCTCTTCTCTCACTAGAAGGAAAACCCCGTGACTTTGTTTTGATTTTCTTCTTAAATATGTCATCGCAGAGGCATTAACAATCCCTCTCATTGGCCCAGTTTTGGCCAGCAGCATGTCCATCTTCAGAGCCATCACACATTGGCTCTGCTGGACATGGTGGAAGCTTCCAGCAGCTCCTCACAGGAGACATCTTTGTGGCCTCCCTGCTACCAAAAACCAGGCCGTGCCAAACCAATACAACACATCTCAATTTAGGTATGTAACTCAGTGGAATATTGATATGTGTTCATGTAATACAGTAATGATGCTAAATAACACATTTTACAACAGATGTAGATATTTAGTTATTTTGAGACATTAGCCCTGAAGTAAAGCATGCAGAAGTATGAAAGTCATGCCATATGCCATAGCTGTGTCCTAATACTTGCAACTTCTGGAGAGACAAACTGCATTAGGTTAAGATGTTACTGCCTCTGTGTGTCCATCTGGCCTTATGCTGGATATTACTGCTCCTCACAGCAGTCATTAGAAGGAAATGTGTCTGAGTCTCAGTGACTTTCATTTGCAGCATTACTTGTTAGTTTATGCCATGGATGAAGATGGGTTGCACGAATATAAAATATACAAGCTGTAACATGCAGAAGTTGTCTTCTGTCTGCTTTTACCTGGAAGCTGTTGATTTTGGGGTACAAAACATCCCATCCTAACAAAAAAAATCTCTAAAGTAGATTAACTGAATTAACTGTACTCTGGACGTCTTGATCTTCCTTTGTTTCTTGGATATCTAAGCTTACGTTAGATGGCATAAATCCTATCCCAGTGTGAGAGCTCCATCTGTCCAGAAAGCCAACAAATCTTATATGGTATTTGGACTATGCTTTCAATATTACTTGAACTACTGAGCACAGAGGGAGACTTAATTTCAGTATTTCAGGCTCAGCATGCATAGAACTGTCATCTGCTTACTTTATTTTTAATCAAAGCATTTCCAAGGACATCAGTTTGTCTAATCACAGCTTTGCATAGATCTGCTTTAACCATCTTTTACAGTACAATTATCTGTCCGGAGAGTTAGCTCTTATTTTATACAGTTTATGGCAAAACTGGTTTTGAGTATGGACAGAATTATTTTGGCTCCTTGACTGCAATGACACAACAATGATTATGATTATTGTCAGTGGCAACCAGCCCATACTTAAAAATTAAATCTGGCTTCAAAGTTTGATACCTACCTAAGGGCACATATGCATGAAATAAAGTTCTTAATTTCTTAGTTTTACAACCACCTAATTTTCTGAATTTGAAGAGAACTGGGGTAGCTGGGATTTGTCTGCTGCTGTTATGACCATTGGAGTTAAGAAACTATGTAGAAAACATACAAATTTGCTAAATTAGGAATAAGGATTCATTTTAGGATTGAAACATTATAGTGAGGTGACTAGACAGTAAAAGTGTGATCATCTTGAGAAAAGGAATAATTCAGCTAATGAATTGTCTTGAAACTTGCATTGAAACTTTGTTAATGTATTTAGTTGAGGTTTTTTTAACTTTTACCTAGGAATCTATTAGATGGCTGGAACATGAAAAAGCTCTTCTTGAGATGACAGAAGAAGTAGACTATGATGTGGATTCTTATGCGACCCAACTTGAAGCAATTGTAGAGCAAAAAATTGATATTCTGACCGAACTTAGAGGTAGATTGCTTTTAATCAATTTTGTGCACATTTTCATATGCCATGGACACTTGCAGTAATACAAAGGGGATAAAAAGAGTGTGGTTATGTTTTGGGGTCTTTTTTCACCTCATGCTGTCCTGTAATGTGCTGAGAAAGGAACATTTTTTTAAGAACAAGTTCACATCTGTATTCAATCCATACTAGTTTAATGGAAGAGTCTGCTTTACCTTCAGGAAGTATAAACTTGATCCTGCAACTTTGAGTTGTTTTTTTCTTTTCCTTTGTTCCAAAAGAATAAAGGAAAAAAAAAAACAAAACCTACTGCTGATTTTCAGTCTGTGCTTAAGAGTAATGTTGAGTTCTGAGTAGCATGGTTTTTAGCCTACTTTTTTCCTTAGCAGCCTTTCTGTCAAAATTTTGTCAGCCTCTCTTTGTTGAAAAACCAACTGCAGATAATGTTTAGTTACCAAAATTGACTCTTTGATTTGTCTTTTAAATTTAGCATGTCAGCTTGGTACCTCATGGAGATTAATTTTTCATTTTAGTTACTCTATGTATCTGCATTCCAGCAGACATGCTATACTGGTTTAGTTTGGATTTTTTAAATCTGTGTTAGAAAACTCTTTATAAGATAAAATCTTACATTTTACTCAGTCTGAGTATCTGGTGTAAGTTAGAATACATCAAGCAAATCAGATGTGGCCTGCTTGCTTTTATGGGTGTATTTGTACCGGTATACTTTAGCAAAGAATTTGATGTACATTCCTTTGTTTCTTATGGATGATGGCTTCCTCTTCAGGGAAAGACAATTGGAGACAACAGCAGTAAAAAAACAGTTTAAGTGATTCCCTGTTCTTCCATTGTTGGATTTTGGTGCTGTTTAGATGGTCTGGGAAAAAGCCCAAAGATGGCCTTGGGCCCCCGGGGTCGAAAGGACGAGAGGAAGCTTCAGATTTGTTCTTGGTCTTGGTGTTTATTAATTGCTTATCTAAAAGATTTTCTCTTGGCCTGACAGAGTTCTGCTCAGCAGTCAGCCATGGGCACACACTGAAAGCCCCTGGGGCGGTCACCTATCTTTATACCCGGAGTTACGTATACAATATTTATCATTTTTCTCCAATACCCTCTATCCTTATTAACCAGTGTTCCCCTAGTAAGGTCCAATCCCGGAGTGCCAACTCCACCACAGAAGATGGAGGCCTAGAGGAAGAAGAAGAAGAAGGGCACGCCCCAATGCCTCCATCTTGCCTCTCTAGACCCCCCTGTACAGGGATCTTAAACCCTGTATCTCACACTCCAATTAACTTGTCCCTTCACCATTCACCCCAGTGAAATCCTCCCGTCCTCATACTGATGTCATCTCCCATGTGGGATCAAAGTCCAGCCACCAGACATTTCTGGCAACATTCCAGGACTCCCGAGCCCCCCAGGGGTAGTCTGGTTCACCCTGCACCCCAGTTCTGAGAGACTGAGATCCCACATTCCATAACTTATTAGATACTGCTTTTAAACAAGATACTGGAGATAAAGAATATCTAAAAGATCCTTGCATCTTTACAAATAGCATGATATAACATATATAGCTTTACAGGAGGGAAGATCTGTTAAAGCCTCTTTCTCCCAATAACTTTTCTGTTATTCTCATGGAACATAATGGTCACTGAATATTTCAGCTTTTAGTCCTGTCACTTTGGGACTGACTTTTTTATGCTGTCAGTTTTGTTTCCTTCTTCCCATTCTTGGGCATATTACTGTGGAACAGGAGTGGGGGAGGAATATAAATAGGAAAGGATGACATACTTATTTTCTAGGGTTTCTCCTGTTCTCGTGCTAGCTATGATGAAAAAAATGATTGATGCATTTCTGTTTACTTCCAAAATTTAATCACAAATGCTTTTCACATTCATAGAAAAGTTGTTATCATAGAATCACAGAATGGTTTAGGTTGGAAGGGACCTTAAAGATCTTCTCATTCCCCTCCCTGCCATGAGCAGGGACATCTTCCACTAGACCAGGTTGCTCCAAGCCCTGTCCAACCTGGCCTTGAACACTTTCAGGGATGGGGCAGCCACAGGTTCTCTGGTCAACCTGTGTCTGAGCCTCACCACCCTCACAGGGAAGAATTTGTTCCTAAGAAGAGACAGAGTGTCTTGGGGTGACTTTATGATGCTCATCTCCCCATTTGTCTGTTTAGTCCAGAAATAAGTTTTGGACCTTTAACATTGGTTTTGAGAGTGAAGGGGGGAGAAGAAGAAAAACTGCACTCACTCCTCCACGTTCCTGCTCCTGTGTTGTCTGTGGATGAACAGACGGCAGGACAGAGCTCTGTTATGCTTTTAGTTAGTTTCTAGCTAGCTGAGGCAGAGAAGTTCCCTGGACTGGGGTTATTTTTCTTTGGACCTGTTTAAACCTGCTCTGGACTGAACATCCAGAACAGCACTGGCAGCTCACACCTGTGGCCCACCAGGGCCTGGCCTGGCCTGTGGCATTTCCAGTGCCAGAGGGACTGATAAGAGACTGAGTAAGCTGAGCTACAGCCCATGAAGGGTACTTTCTGAGTTTGTCATCTCTTTTGGAGCGGCAAGAGGTGTTATTGTTTAATATTGTTCAGGGGTTTTTTGTGCTGGTGAATGCTTTGCCTGTTAAATAAACAGTTTTTTCCACTTTTCTCCAAGGAAATGTTTTTCCCAAACCAGTTGGGAGAGGGACCGCTTCAATTTGCTTTTCTAGAGGAAACCCCTTTAGAGGTTTTTTCTCCCAAAATTGCCCTAAACCAGGACACAGGGATAGCATCTAAGAAGGGACTAAGTTGTTAAGCAATTTGTTTGTATGGTAAATATTAAATGTAAGCTTATCTCAATCCTCTTGTAGTTTGTCTCTTCAGCTATTTTTGTGGAGGAGTGTTCTTTGTTTTGCATTAGGGCCAGTATGTGGGGCATCAAGCCTTAGTTTCAGGATCTGTGTTGAGCACAGGCATATTAGTACTCATTCTCTCTTTTTCATTAAAGATAAAGTGAAATCTTTCCGGGCAGCTCTGCAAGAGGAGGAACAGGCCAGTAAACAGATCAACCCAAAAAGACCACGTGCCCTTTGAAAGGAGGCCTCTGTTGCTAAAGGAATCTATGAACCTGTACTGCTGTAAGACACATTTGTAACAAAACCCAGTGCTTGGAAGAACTCAACTACTTGAAAGTGTAAAAATGTTAGAAATGTCCTGTTTATTGCTCATCTGAATTATATTTTCAGTTTTATGTGAAATGCTCCTATGATGTCTACAAAATGCTTCTAGACCAAACAGTACAACCATGCAGGGTTCACATCTGTGAAGCAATTTGTTTAAAGTATTTCATTTATTCAAATTGTAAATTTTATGTTTGGAAATATTTGCCATGTTTTTACTAATGAAGTAGAATTGTGACAATTGAAAAGTCACAGTATTTCCATTTAACTATGTTCAGTTTTGCTATAAAGACCAGTTTTGCAGTTTGAAATTGTCTTTGCTCCATGTGTACCTCACTAGTGGTTTTACATATCTTCTACAGACAGCTGTGCTTACTTCCCATTCTGTGCCTTGATGAAGGCTACTTAACCCTGAATAGCCTCTTTCTGAAGCACAGACTTAATAAACAACACTCATATTTGTCAATATATATTGCTTTTAGTGTGTTTATATTTTTAATGTGTTTTGAGACTTTTTTGGTGGCTAGTGCATTTCACAGCATGTGCCATATCCTTCAAACAGGAACTGCAAGAGCTGTTAGAGTGAACATACAGCTGGACATTCCATCCTGGTTGTAAAAAATCTGAAATTTAGGTTTCTTTGAATACCATAAAGAATAGTTGTATAATTATAACATGTAATTAACAAAGAAAACACAAAAAAAGGCAAAATCAAACAAAAAATACACAGGTTGATGTATAACAAAGTGTAATGTTTAAGTATCGAGTAGAGTTGGATCTCAGAGTAATACAGATAGATATACAGTGTGTGGTATGGTGTGATAATGTTGTCAGAATAAAGGTACCATCTGACCTCTGCGTATGGATAGGCTAAATGTCAAAATTCAGGGATCCAGTTAAAGAAATACATATTGACCTTTCACATATTGCTAAAATTTGGCTTTTGATGCATGACGAGCTTACATGTACGTTAACTATAGTTTGCAAATAGTTTAAGTAGCTCTGATTCTTTAAAAAAAAAAGTAGTTAATGCCTATTTTTCTCTTTGTACATTGCCAGCAGCTGAAAAGTGAGGGGAAATTTCATCATTTGAGTATTTTCACAATGCCTCTACCTAGTACTAATAGAAATCAAATAAGTACCTGAATTCTCACAAACGGCACCATAGGTATCAGCACTATTTAGGGGGTGGCACTCAAATTATTTTTGCAAGTCAGTATCCAAAAAATAAGAACCTTTTGTGTAAGAACTTCTTGCCAAATGAAGAACTGTAGACCTCTCTAGGAGTTCTCTCCGTTTCCAGGAGTTCATATCAACAGACTTTCCCTTGGAACTGTTTAAAAATTACTTTTGTAATTCAAGCCTGGTTAGTTTGTGCCAGGCTTGGAGGGAAATAAAGGGAAGGCAATGAAAAGAGAGTTTATTGAGCCAGGAATTCTTGTAGCATTTAATATTTGTGCGTCCCATAGAAAGGCAGGGTATGGGAAGCTCCTGTTGCTTTGTGGTTAAAAATACTCCTGTGTGTAAACATTGAAAGTGAAACAACAATGTAGATTTTACATACTGTGTTTAAATAAATTAAGCTGTTAAATGAGCTACAAATGAGAATTCGCTTCTATGAAAGTTCTTTTACACTTTGGAAAGGGTTTGATTTTGTAAACACATCTGAGTTACGCTTTTCAAAAGGCCTCTGATTTCAGAAATGAATATTTACTTCTAGAACTATTCTGTACAAATTTGTTGTATAGGACCAAGCTCCCCAGAGGACTACCCTGACAATTTTTACAACAGATCTTAAAAGAAACACCATATATCTTTCTGAACATTTAAGAATGTCTTCCATCACAACTAAAAGAAAAAACTCCAATGAAACAGAAGGCAGGAGCTTTCTAGAGAAATCTTACTTTCTAAAAAGCTTTTGAAGACTGAGACATCCTACACGAGAAACAGTTGTTTCCCTACTATTCATCCATGCAAGCCCAGAGCCACATGCAGAATGTGATTCTAAGGGGTATCAAAGAGGACAGGAAGGACAGAGGCAGATTTCAGCAACTTTTTACTAAGTCTTGTAAATGACATTTCCTGTCAGGTAGCACATGTGAGCTAAAATTGCATCAACTGGGCGGGAGGGGAATCTTAAGAGACAGGCTTTGCAATAGAACCTGTATTAAAGATCATATCTACACTGTTACTGAATCAGCCAGAATGGAGATTTAAAAAACTAATACAGCACTTGAATTCTTCTAGCCCATTTCTTTGATGGGTTGGAATAACTTGAATAGGACTCAGACAAGCTTATCTTGATTTCTGTCCTCTAAAACAAAAACATTTCAGATCCATGGCACAGATCCCTAACACTTGTTCCTTTTTTATTGGTCTCTGCATATTGCTGTGACTACTTATATTCACTCATAAATTGGTTCTATATGCAGTGAAGCAGCATTAGAATAATTAAAATATAAAATAAATGAGCAATTCAATTTTCCAAGATAATCGCTCAGCATGCCTGCAAATTCAAGTGCATTTCTCTACATTTTTTTTTCCAATGACTTTTAAAGTATTGACATTGAACATGGATAAAATGCAATTATATCTTAGAGGAGTTTTTGGTAATTTGCCTCTTCTCCATTTACTGTGGTCTGATAGAAAGAAATATACTACACAATAAAAATTTACTTATGGTAGTGAATACATAGAATGGGGCCTTCATCCCTGCATGATGCTTCAGAGTTAACAGTTGCTGTTTACCTGAATCATAAGACAGACCAAAGGGGATTTTTCTTTTGACAGATGCTATGCAGAGCTAATGCAAACTTGGGGGAAAACATTGTCTTGTCCTTAATAACAAATATATATAATTCAAACTATATTAAGACTTCAGTAAGTCTTTTTGTCAGGACACAGGCATGAATTGCTCTAAGAGTCACTGAAAGCTTTGATCTATGCTAAAACACCTTGTTGCCTTGAAGGGTGAAGTAGTTTTCAGTTGCCTGAATTTACAGTTGACAAAAACCAATCCCCCCCCCCAAAAAAAAAAGCCAAAACAACAAAGTATTTAAATATACTTAAAAGCAATCAAAAAAATCCCAAACAAATGGAATTACAACAAATCTATTTTTGTTGCCCAGACCACACTTATGGGTTGCACTGTAGAGTATTGCACAGGAATATCCTGAGATTAAGTCCATAATCAGAGAACACAGATTTCAACTATAGCAACATCAATCCTGTCTCAGTTTAGAGACAAGTGTAGGATAAAATGCTCTGGAATGAGTGTTTCCTCTAAAAAAGGGGGTTTATGCCTATATAACTTAGGTCAAAGTTACAAAGTGCTTATATAGGCTGAGTTATAAAATATCAATATAACTTAATATATCTATATAAAGTGATATCAATACAACCCGAATCATAGCTTTTTATACCTCTATAACCTGAATCATAACTTTTTTTATACCTATATAACCTGATATAAATAACTTTTTATACAATGTAATGGCTAGTATATGGTTAACTAGTTGCTTAATGCTGAATAGATAGAAAAAAAGAAAAAAAAACTCACCAGGTGGATAATTTCAGAGGTAGATAAGTATAGTACTAATGAGAAATTGGCAAATGTAAAGCTAATTTGATGCCTGGAGAGGCTGACCTAGAAAAGAGACTAGAATGAGCTAAAGAATAAAATAGGTATTTGTTAAAAGGCCTTAAAATTATACACCTTGGGCAGTACAACAGTCTGGCCAGAGCTACACCCAAAATGGACGCAAGATGGTCACAAGATGGATGACTGTCACAAGATGGATGACCGTCACAAGGTTTCACACTTTTATAAGTTTTGTTCCATTTGCATACTGGGGTTAATTGTCCAATTACAGCTTCAGATTATGAAGTCCCATCCTCCTTGTTTGCTCTCTTCAGCTCACCATTTTTTATGCTTTTTAGACCTGAAGCTTGTAATGGTTGTCCTTTCTCAGGTAGCTGTTGATAATTGCTGCTCCGAGATGTGTAGGATGTCTCTGCTTAGGCCCGCGCAACTGAAGAACGAGTCTGGACTCTTCACTTTTCGGTCTTGAGGTTCTTTATTAATTCTTATCTATAAAATTTTCTTTCTGGCCAGCGGAGGTCCTCTCTGCCGGGCAGCCACAAGCACTCTGACCGCCTCCAAGGCAGTGTTGTCCTTTTATACTACAAACTACGTATATCATATTTACACTTAATTCCCAATACCTATCACCTATGTTAGACAGTGCACTTCTACTCTAAACCAATCCCAAAGTGCCAACATCACTGCAGAAAATGGAGAACAAGAAGAAGAAGGAAGGCTAGACACGCCCAGATTCCTCCATCTTGTCCCCATAACCCCCATACCAAAAATCCTAAAATCTACATTTTCACCCCGTAATCATTTTGTTATTACACTATTCAAACCTGTGTGACTTTACTGTCCTTATACAAAGTTGGCAACTTGCTCCAATGGTCAAAATCAAATCCCCAGGTGTTCTGGGCAGCATGCCAAGGTCTCTGAGCCCCCCGGCGGGGTCCTTGGAAACTCTGGACACCCGGAGGGATGTACTGAGTTCTGACAGTCCTTGGTTCTCAAGCTGGAAAAGGATTGTTTTGTCTACCTACCCTGTGAAGAGAACTTTCTTAATATGAAGCTCAGAACTACACACCAATGCAGCACAGAATCTGAAAAATATGAAAGCTAAAACTTAAGGCATCAAATTAGCCACAAAATAAAGAATTTAGGCCAGTTAAGACGAGACAGACCAAGGAACACCAAAACTGCACATGCTCCAAAGACGAAGTTGAAAAGTTCAGATGCCAAGAAGTGTCTCGGGGTCTCTAGGTGGTCAGAGTGACCCCGAGACATGTTAGAAAGTCTCTTTTCTCAGCCTGGCAGTTGAAGAAGAAGCC